AATTATTATTTAACAAATTAATTATTTTAATAATTTATTTAAATTTATATACGATATTATTTTAATTTTTATTAAAAGCGTGTCAATTTATCAAAAAGTAAAGCTCTTTTTTTTGTTACACTGTATGTTCAATTAGATTTCTAAACTTGGAAACAATGACATGTTAAAGATGTACATATTTGTCGTAATTATTATAAAAAGGCAAAGATTTATCTCTTCAACGAAATCCTTTTTCCTAACGTCAGAAAAAATTTTTTATTAAAAAAAATTTTGTGTTTAAAAACTCTGGTAAGAATAATTTCATTCGCAGCATATAGTTATTTCTTTTTTACTTATTTTCATATAATAATTAGATAGATGTCATATTCTAATTTTTTATTATTTTATAAAGTTATAGGATAACGACGTAATAAACCAATCTTATCATGTTGCCTTCTGAAAATCCTTCGACTCATTTGAATACTGGACGAAATGTGATCGCTGAAGAATTACTAACTTCTCGAGATAAAAAAGATACAAACGATCCCAATTCTTTTATTTACGATAGTGTATCAAATGATCAACCTATCAATAATAGTTCGTTTTTTTCTGGATTTGATATTAAATCAATGCTTAGTTCGCAAATTTTGAATCGTAATCTTTCTGAAAATCCAAATCAAGTTGTTAATGAAGCTGGCTCCGAAAATAAGAAGCATATCGTTTCTGAGAATGATGACGACATGGAAAACTTGAACGATTTAGCTAAATTCATTCCAGGATTATACCGTTTATTAGACTTGTGTAAGGATGATGGATCCAACGGATTAGGTACTTAGGATTTATTAAGGCCTTAATTTGTACTTCAAACGAATCTTAACCTAACTTTAAATTATTATATAATTAGTTGACAAAATTATTATTTCGAAAGAAGGGTTAAAGGATTTGTGTAATGACTATGTAAAAGATAGTTTTAAATCGATCTCAGACATTGATTATAATCAATTGAATTCTTGTTCCATGAAATTAATTGGATGTTACGGAAATCATGTTTTAATTGCAAAGCTTTTGCTAGACAAAGATATAATCGATCAAAAATTGTAAATATCATATTTTGTTTGTTGATTAATATCAAGATATATTCACTAAACTAGTTATTTATACAGATATGAAATGCTGATTCGTTCGTCACAACAAGCTTCTAATATCCAGGAACCTGATAACAAGCTATCTCTTCGCCCAGGAATTTATTTCTTAAAAATAAATCTCGACTTAGGATTAGTGATTCATTGGCCGGAATATGGATGTTATGAAGATAATACTTCTTCTCAACGAAAAAAGAATATGATCAATCTTCACAGGTACTGTATATATAAAATTTTCTTACGTAGTTTAATTATAAATAAACAAAAGTTAATTAAAAATCATTTTTATATATTTATTTAGGTATATGACAAAATTAACAGACTGCCAAATTTGTTTAATGAGCGATCAAGATTTAAATAGTTTTGATTGGGAAAAAGAAGATGATGACGAAGTATTAAATTATAATAATAAGATGTGTGTTGAGTTTGAAGTTAAGAAAAGTCAAGAAGAACAAGAGGATTTTAAGGTTTTTAACGGTTTTAACGTATGTTATAGTTTCAAATTAATTTATTTATATATAATGTTTTGCGTACTAATTTCATATACATGTATAATTCAGATTCCGTTGCCAAAGCTTATCAAATCAGAAATTGAAAAATCTTATAATGATGAGTTATATCCAAAAAGTGAGTTTAAAAATTAAATTTTCTTTTTTAATTTCTTTATTTTTTATTTTTATTTTTATATTTTGCTTTAAATTTAAATCTTTTAAAAAATTTTTTTTAAAAAAGTTGTCGAGTCAGTTTCATACCAAGCTTTTATTACACGAAACATAATTCCACCCTCGAATGTTATGAAACCAGGTACTGCCACTATAAGGAAAGGAGATTTCAATAAAGAATTTATGAATCGATGGGGAAAATTTTCTGTGAGAATTGATCGTTCAACTATGAACATGAAAATGCTTGAAATTCTTATAAATAATGGATTAAATATGGATGAA